TTTGGAGCTGGGGTGGGGGGCTTCATGTGCCCTGTTATCTCAGGATGAGACCAGATTTTTCACTCAGTGGTCAATGCCTCCAGTGTCTGTTAATTCTGAACTAATGAACAATGAACAAAGCAAACTGCTGTTAGGGACAGCAGAAGTTTTACATTTTACATTGTGGCATTTTTTTAGGTTTTTGCTGTTTATAAAAGTTTTTTATTATCATTCCTCCCTTTGTTTTTTGGAGGTAACCCTTTATTAACCCCTCATTATGTTTATACCAATTTTTATTATTTTGCATAATTAACATCTAAAAATGTTGCGCAGTAGCTATTTTCTGAAGTATGGTATCTACTTGTGGCAGAATAATTTTTAATGGTTGAAGACAACACTTGTGACACTGTGTGACTTTTAAATACCAAAAAAGCAAATCTCATTATCAATTATATCTAATGGGTAGCTGAGCAAGGGGTTTGTAGTAAGCTTTACTGGCTCTAAGGGCAGGTCACACATGATGCCAATTGTCTGATAAGTCATCATGGTGAGTGATGCACAAATCTAGCAATCAGTCTAATTTTTGGTCTGCCTGTAGCAGCAATGCATATTATTAATTAAAGCTATTATATCTATATCAATTTTTGTATAATTTTGGATACCCTTTTAAGATACTTTTGTATTTTTTTGTAGAACAGGCATTTATTTTTATTTTTGGAGGTGGGCTCTTTTAGATCATTTTAATCTATAGAATCTATCTTTAAGTTCTGAGGCCCATGCCTAGCAGTTGACTGATATCTAGTATAAGCATGAAAAACTATTCTTTGTAGCCAGCTTGCTTTTTAAGGCCAAGCTATATACATTTTTAAAGGGTTACATTGTCCCTGTTTATAGTTATCACAATTGCCAGTACTTTGGGTCACAGCAGAACTGTTTAACAATATTTGAACTTTATCTGCACAATATCTCTTTTTTGTGTATATCTCTCACAGTTGAGTATGGTACCAGGGTTTTTATAATGATTTTTTGGACATGCATCAAAAAAGAAGTATGAGGGATGTCCCTCTGGTTTTTTATTTAACAGTTTTAAAGGTCATATTGTTATCAAACTTATCATCTTTAGGCTTATAAACTCTTAATTTAAAAACAAAATAACTCATAACCATTTGACATAATAAAGGAGCCTATAATACCTTGATTGTAGTCTTTATTTTTTAACCATGTGTGGAATCATCAGCTTCTGGTGTGGTGAGAACAGGGCTTTGAGTGCACTGCCTCCTGGAGTCGCAGTCCGTGGAGTTCTCTGGATAGGTTCGCTTTACTCTTAGAGTGGTTAATATATGGCTGGACTTCAGCTACCTGGACAGCTGTGGGAGTAACCATAAGTGCCTCATATGGCCCTTTTTATATAGGTTGTAAAGGGGTCTTTTTAAATTTTTTAGCATAAAGTTGGTCCCCCAATTTTATCAAATGGGCAGGGGTTGGCACAGGAAGGTCTTTTTTTTATCTCTAATTTGTCTCTGGATATTTTGGAACACTTTTTTTCATTTTAACAGCTGTAATTTTATGCTGGATAAACCTAACTGAAATAAATTTTTTGTAAAGTCTCAAGATACATGGTGGCCTTTCAAATAAGACCTCATATGGGGAGAATCCAGTATAACTTGGGGTATTTTTAATTTTAAGGAGAGCTAAAGGGAGTAAAATGACCCATGAACTCAGCACTGTCTGACAATGTTTAGTTAATATACTCCTAATAGTATGATTTTTTTTTAAACCTTGCTGGAACTCTGGGGCCAATAAGCAGTATGTACGTACCATTTTATATGTAATAATTTAGCTAGATCTTGTACAATCTCTGCCACAAATGTTGGCCCTTTGTCACTACTTACAGAGAGGAAGACCAAACCTTGGAATTATCTCTTTTAATGAACTCTTGCATACCTCTGAAGCCTTCTCTGTTTTTGTAGAGAAGGCCTCAGACCACCTAGAATAAGTATAACAACATATCAACAAATATTTATAAGGTTTGCAAGGGAAGACTTTTGTAAAGTCTATTTGTATGTCCTCAAAAGGGGTTGTGCCCTTCCGTTGTATTTTAGATGATGCTCTGGGCCCTGAAGTCAGGTTTATTTTTTGACAAATTTGACACCTTTTTGAGATTTGTCCAAACACAGCAGAAATCTGGGGTATGTAGAAATATTTTTTAGCAGTGTTTAAAGAGGCGTCTTTCCTGAATGGGTTAATACATGATATCTTTTGAGCTAATAATAAAATAGCATCTCTGGTATCATTATTCTGTTGTCAGGCAGAATCTAAACAAGTCTGTTTTTTAGCCAATTGTTTTTTATCTTCTTTATCTGAATATTTTATAGCAGTTAAGGGCTTTTGTATCTCTTTTGCTTTTGTGCACGGGCAAGTACAGCCATCTGAAGTTTCTGTTTAGCAGCCCTTTTGGCTTTTATGTCTGCTTTAGCATTGCCTTTTGTTATTGTGTCTTTATTTATTTATTTATTTATTTTTTTTGGTGTTTAGAACAATGCATTATTGCTACTTTATCAGGTTTTCACAGTGCCTTTAATAACTGTATCATTTTTTATTTTCAGTCTGTTTGCCCTCCACTGTGAGACCATACCCTTTGTAAATAATGCCATGTATATGTAAAGTAACAAAGGCATATTGGGAATTGGTACAAACATTTACCCTCTTTCCTTTTGCCCATTGGAAAGCCTATATGAGTGTCCATAGCTCTGCTCACTGAGCTGACCATCCGGTGGGTGGGGGTTCCCACTTGGATCATTTTATCTTGAGTCATAACTGTATAGCCAGCGTAGCCTACCCCATTTTTTATGAAGTTGCTCTCATCCATGAACAGGATGAAATCAGCATCAGACAGCAGGGTTTTTTACAGATCTAGACGACTCAAGAACAACTCGTTGGTGATGCTGAGGCAGTCATGGTCAGGGGACAGGTTTCGAGGGCAAAAAGGTAGCAGGATTTAGCATTTTAACTGGAACAAAATGTAGGCAAGGATTCTCACAGATGAGCACCTGATATTGAGTGACTCTATTATTTGAGAGCCACTGAGGTCCTGTTATTTAACAGTTTGAGAAAGGCATGGGGAACCTTAATAGCCAATTTTTGTCTTAAGGTTAGCTTGCCAGCTTTTCAAATTAGCATAACTGCAGCTGCCAGACCTCACAAACAAGGGGACCATCCCTTCACAGCTGGATCTAAATTTTACAGATTGCTACTGGCTGATTTTATGGGCACATTTTTTTTAGTCACAGGCAAGGTAGAAGGTTGAGTAATATCTGGGATTCCCAGTGCAGGGCCAGCAGAGAGGGTTCGCTTTAACCTTTTAAATGCTGATGGCACTACTTCTTTTTTTTTTAAGTAGTGCATTTCTCTAGTAATCTGGAATCTCATATGTTTGATTTGTGAATATAAATTTGAGCCATTTTATGAAACTTTATATCTTGCCTCTTAAAGCAGTATTTTTTTTTTTTAGTACCCTGGGAAGTGTTTATTAGTACATCAGAAAATTAACAATAATAATCATATGTATGAGACTTTATGCCCTTTAATTTGGTACCAGAAGTATCTCATTTAAAAACTTTTTTTACAGAAAATATTATATTTTGAAAATGATCATTATAAACATATCACAATAACATATTTAGAATTTGACCATTTGATGATAACCAATGTAAACTTTTTTTTTTTTTTTTTTTTGGTACCGGGGATCAAACTTGGATCCTTCTCTTGTGAGGCAGGTGGTGGAACTATTGAGCTCAGGGGATCTCACCATTTAGATGGACAATTCCACCCACTCGTCTTTCTTCTGCTGCCTCTGTTCTGGGTTCAAGCAATCCACTGCCAGTAAGCTGGCCTCCAGGTCCTAGAAAGGTAATCCCAGAAAACCCAGGGGCGTGCCTCTTCCCTCCCAAGGAGTCAGACGGCCACTCGCTCTGGTGGAACTCAGGATGAATACCAACATGGGCCATATCAGTTAGCCCTCTCCTTCCTGGCCAATTCATCAAATGCTGCAGAACGAATTGGCAAGTGACAGGCACATAGAGGAACTGAATGGAAGTAAAATAATAAAAAGCTTATTCCATTGACGAGGGCCGATTGCACTTAAAAGCAGTGCCAGGATTGATGATGCACTGGGTTATGGCTCTTTTTTAATAGGGTTTTACAGTCTTGATCTCATTTTGGTGGTTATATTTTATTTTTAGTTTACATTGCTGCTATACAAATCATAAGACAGTTAAATTTTAACCCAGATGTAGCACTTCTTTGCCATGAGGGGAATTTACCTTTAAGATTGATCTACCTATCTATTTTAGCCCAGGGGAAGGGGGCATTCTTGGTCAGGAAAGCAAGTTACAATATTATTTTAATCTTGACCTTTATAGTCATGTGGTTTACAAAACTTTGGAGCTGGGGTGGGGTCTTCATGTGCCTGTTATCTCAGAAGAAGAGCAGATTTTTCACTCAGTGGTCAATGCCTCCAGTGTCTGTTAATTCTTTTCTTCTTTTTTGAGACAGGGTTTAACTATGTACTTGAGATTGTCCTGGAATTCATTATGTAGCCCAGGCTGGTCTCGAACTCAGCAATCCTCCTGCCTCAGCCTCCCAAGGGCTGGGATTACAGGCATACACCACCACACCGGGCTTCCAGTGTCTTTTAATTCTAATCTAAACAAATCAAACTGCTGTTAGGGACAGCAAAAGTCATCTTACATTGTAACATTTTATAAGTTTTTGCTATTTATAAAAGTTTTTTATATCAATATAATCAGTGAGCTCACAATAAAAAGTAAACAGAGGTAACAAGAAGACTAAAAAGAGTCAATAACACCTTCAAGAAAAGTTCTGTCACTTAAAAACACAAACTTTGCCGAGCATGGTGGCCCTTGTGAGGCTGAGGCAAGAGGGTTGCCATGAGTTCAAGGCCAGCCTGAACTCCATAGCAAGACCCTGTCTAAAAAACAAAACCAAAACAAAACAAACAAAAAGACACACACTTTTATTGCTTTTCAATGATCTTTCCCATAATAAATGTTGCAAATAGGATTGGTTCAGGGGGCCAGCTTTTTAGGACAACAGTAAGTGCAGTCTGATACGAAATCATCCCAAATTATGCTGATGCTTCCAGCACGTTAGTGTGGAGTCCATGGAGCACTGTGATGAAACAAATCTCCCAGCAGTGACTTCCGATCGCAGCTGTCTTTCCCCAGCCTCAGCCACGGCTCATGGACTAAACCCCGCAGGGCAGGAGAGCAGCTTTCTCCTCTTCGGTGTCCATGATGCTTTGGGGTTTAGATCTACAAGGAGGGGGAAAGAGGAGAATCTTAGCATTTCCAGTCTCCTTTAGGCCTGCATTACGGTCACAGCCACGACTGGTAATTTGTTCCTGTACCTGGGATATCTTGGTTCTTCTTTTCTCCCCATTCTCCCGCCCTCCCGTCAGCCCCTCCACCCCTCCCTATTTACAAAAATCTTTGCTTCTGTTTGTTCCTTCTTTTCTCATATTTTTTTCTTTCCCTTCTTTCCTTTCTAGTCTTTAAAAAACATGCAGTGCCTACATCTCTAACAAGTTAGCATCTTAAAAAGTGTCTACCAAGTAATGAGCCTCCGGGTGCCCAGAACTCTGCTAAGTGGCAGAACGGACGGAGAACAGTATTTCATTTCCATTTCCACAAGATAACCTGGAAAGAAAGAAAAGAGTCCGAAAGCTGGGCGTACCTTCTTCTAGAGTCTTCCCGGAGGTAAAACAAGCCCATCGCTAATCCCTTTGATTCAACGAAAGATACTGGTTAGTATAAATCCTCAAGTTAAATTTCTCCAAAATGTAAGAAAAATGGGGGAAAATGAACATGTTACTCACACTAGTCAGGGGCCACAAGCCTTGTACAGCTGCTGCCCACTCAAATCCAATTTTCTCATACAGAAATCCACCCAACATCGGACCTATAAAAGCGCTAGCAGTGGAAAGAAAACGAAATAAGTATTGAACAGCGGAAAAAATACTGCATCAAAGTCTCTCGATCCCACAGCTACAGGTCTTCCTTAAATCGTTACTGTAAGCACTGAATCAAAAAGTCAATTCTAGGGGCCAGGGATTTAGCTCAGGGCTGCTGCATCTGCCTCAGAACTACAAGGTCGTGAGTCTGATCTCTGGTACCAAAACCAAAACAAAACAAACATCAAAAAGTCCATTCTGGGTGTGAGAAAAAAAGTGTAAGTGAGGACCAAAATGTAGACTAGATAATGAGAAATAGGAAGAAAATGTTCAAAGGGGAAGAGGGACTAGGGAGGGCGGAGCAGGGGAAAGGAAAGAAGAGAAAGAAACAAATGGAAACAAATCTTATGTAAATGGGGAGAGGTGGAGGAGTTGAAGGAAGGGAGAGGGGAATGGGGAAAATAAGAACCGAGATACAGCATGAACAGGTGCAAATTCCTAGTAATTAATGCCGTCATAATGTACACCTAAAATGTACCCATAAAGTTAATGAATAAAAAAATTTTAAAAGGTCAATTCTGGCTTAGCAACACTTACAAGAAAATAATTCTAGGACTGAGTGTGCAGCTCAATCGCAGACTGCTTGCCTACCATGCATGGGGCCCTAGGTTCAATCCCTAACACTCCAAAAAATAAATAAATAAAAATAAAAAAGCAAAGAATAAAAAGAAAAAAAAGTCTACTCAATAATGATGATGCTGGCTGGCGTGGTGGCGCATGCCTGTCATCCCAGCACTCGGGAGGCAGAGGCAGGAGGATCTCTGTGAGTTTGAGACCAGGCTGGGCTACATAGTGAGTTCTAGGTCAGTCTCAACTATGTAGTGAGACCCTGTCTCATCCCCCAAATAATAATAATAATAATAATAATAATAATAATAATAATAATAATGATGATGATGATGTTTAAAATTTTTAAACAATTCTTAAGAAGAACAGCATCCGAAAAGTTGGTGGCTTATAGAGAAATAAAAAGATGACAAATGTTCAAAACTACATATCTTTCTTTCTCAGTATTTACACATAATATAACTCAATTAAATATATATCAACTCCTATATGCAACATTGCATTGCTCACACATGTTTACCCTTCTGGTACAATAAAAGGTTAAAACAAATGAATACATGAATAATTTTAAATCTGAGACATGCTTTTAAAAGGCTCTTACAAGTAACATAAATAAAACAATGTACAAAACCATTTTGCTTAAGTTTTTGCTTTGTGTTGGAGAGGAGGTCTCGCTACGTAGTGCAAGCTGGCCTTAAACTTACTATGTAGCCTACACTAACCTTGAACGTGCAGCAGTCCTGCCTCAGCCTCCCAGGGATTACAGGCATGCTCTACCATGCCCAGCTAGCTTAGGTATTACATTGGCTGTTAGGACTACATTTTGCAGTCAGAAGGTATGGGTTAGAATGCTTGCTCTGCCCTGACTTTGACAATCTCATATTATTACTTTTTTGGCTTCTTTTTGTCTAGTTTTTATTTTTTATTACTACATGTTCTAGTACATAAAGATTATGCTCCTTGTGGGGAGGTTGGTGGGTGTATATGAAACATCTTATTTCTTTTTTTAACCCCTTACCCCCCTGCTTCATCTCTTAATCCCCCTCCCTATAAGAAAGATCTATCTTCCTACTTCTTATTATCAATCATTTGTTTTGTTCTATATTAATATTTTATGTTCCTCATATAAGAAAAACTATATGATATTTAAATTTATGCATCTGATTTATTCCACTTAACATTCTGGTCTCAAGGTACATCCATTTTCCTACGAATGACTAAAATCTAACCTTCTTTCTGGCAGAGTAGTAGTCCATCCTATACAAGTAGCACATTTTCTTTATCCACTCACCTGTTGATGAACATGTAAGCTCCTTCCAAGATCTAGCTATCATGAATTGGGCTGCTTGCTATAAGCATGGGTATGCATGTAATACGATGACTCAAAATGGGCTTTCAGGCAGTGCGTCAGTCACGGAGGCGTGATGGTCGGCAGTGGATTCCTCCATGATGAGTTTATAGCTAAAGGTGACGTTGGGAGCTGAAGCCTGACTGGAGGAGGTGGTCACTAGGGGCGTGGCTTGGAAGGGTCTGTTCCGCCCTAGCTTGGATCTCTCCTCTTCCTGCTGCCAGGCCACAAGCAGCCTCCTCTGTCGTGCCCCATGCCGGGCCCACACCGCGCCCTTCTGCCAGGCTTCCCTGCCTCGGAGCCCGCCCACTATACACTGAAACCACTACAGACTGTAAGCAAAAATAAACCTTTCCTCCTCTGAATTACGGGTGTCGGGTATTGAGTCTCAGCGACAAGAGAGTACTTAAGACACCAGCATCGGCTATGATACGAGGTGATGATGGCCATTCTCTCTGGAGTAAGATGGCCTCGCAGAGAGGGTTCAACTTGCATTTTTCTAATGGCCAGAGCTGGTAAACATTTTTTCACGTATTTATTGGCTATCTGTGTCATCCTAGCGTGCCCATTCCGCGTGTAAAGTGGGGACAGTGTTTCCTGTCTAGCAGGTGGGGACGAAACTCAGCGAATACTCACCCCACCGACCACATGGCGCTGGTGAGGCCTGACACGAGTCCCAGGGTACTCAGGCCTTCTTCAAACCCATTTTCGCTGCAAAGAGAGACAGGAGAGTATCCAGTATGAAAAGGAAACCTGCCTGAAAGAAAACATTGTACGACAGATATCTCAAGATAAACCAAAGAAAACCTGGGTCCACTTCTCAGCAGCAAAGCACGCCTAGGGGCCTGGGGATGGAGCTCAGTGGCGCAGCGTGTGCTTAGTGGGCAGAAGGTCCTGGCTTGCATCCCTGCACTTAAAAACGAACAACCCCCAAACAAACAAATCGAACTCGAAGAAACATTTTACAAGATGACTGGTAAAATAGTTTTTCTAAAAACACTTTTGTTACACCAATTAGATATATTAATACCACAATCATTTGTATTAAATGCTTATAAAACATATAATTATCTGATCCTTACATTGAGATGAAGATGTCAAAGGGCACTGGGCACCTGCATCGCCTGCTAGTTAACAGAGGGACCCTGCACTGTGACTCAGATCTGCTCCACACAAGAGGGGCAAACTCAAGGGCTCTCCACTCTGCTTTAACTTTTAAAAACTGCTTCTACACTAAGGCACAAACCAAGACAAACATCTATCTGCGACTTATTGTGACCACTAGTGTAGTAATGTTCATCTGTATTCTCTGACCACAGAATGGTTTGGGGGAAGTGCCTAGCATCCTAAGAAACTGAGAAATTCAAACAGCTTGGGACACTTGCTGCCCCTCACAATGCAGCTCTCTGGGGACGGATGCCACTTACTAGGCACAGCTGAGGACCTCAGGGAAGGTCGGGATAATGCTCATCCCAGCAGCAACGCCATTGACCACCAGTATCAGCACCAGCAGCCACATCTGGCTGCAAAAGAATTGTAGAAAAGAGAAGACCTTTAGCATTTAAGAGGCACAAACTTCACACTAGGGGAGCGAGGGTCCCAGTGAAGCTGGTCTCACAGATCATGTGACCAGCCTTATCCTCGTCCTAGTTCCATGCTCAAGATCACTTTTAGCTCCTTCTGTTTGGGGGGAGCAGGAGAGCCCCTCTCCTTTTGATAGCGTCGCCTCTCACACACATCCCAGCAGTCCCAAGTTTGCAGTCAGTCTGTCTTCTCACCACACAGAAGTCTTGCAAGATTGGTTGAAATATCAATATTAATACTGCTCATTCAGATGCTGGGCTCTGAAATTCAATTAACTGAATAAGCCAAAGAAGGGAAGGGAGAGAGGCAGAGATGAAACCAACATGTGTACCAGGCTGAGCCGGTGCCAGTGACTTCATGTATCCAGTCTCATTCAACCCTTGTGCTGTCTCAGTGCTATAGACAAGAAAACTGAGGCTCTTGGGAGTTAAGGGATTCGCTCAAGTTTGCAGTAAATAGTAAGCGGCAAAGCCACAATTCAAACCCAGCCTGAAAGACTCTGAAATCCCTCTTTTGCCTTATCATGTCTTATCCTAGAATTTTGTGAAAAGGCCTGCAAGACTCATTTTTGTTTGTTTGTTTTGGTACCAGGGATCGAACTCAGGCCCTTGTGCTTGCAAGGCAGGCAGTGGAACCACTGAGTTGAATCCCTGCCCCATAATACCTTTATTTACAGGACTGGCATGTAATATATATGGGTAGCAACAAATGCTGTTTTAAAATAGCCGGGCGTGGTGGTGCACACCTATAATCCTAGTACTTGGGAGGCTGAGGCAGGAGGATCTCTGTGAGTTCGAGACTAGCCTGGGCTACATAGTGAGTTCCAGGTCAGTCTCAACTACATAGTGAGACCCTGTCTCAAAAAAACAAAAAAACAAAACAGTACAAATAGGGCCAGAGATTTAGCTCAGTAGTGCTGCCTCCTGTCTTGCAAGTGCAAGGTCCTGAGTTCAACCCCTGGTACCAAAAAAAAAAAAAAAAAAA